TGAAGCAGAGAGCTACCAGAACCCAGAGGTAGAGAGCTGATGACAACTTTGTGGAGAGAATTTCCATTCTGTCACATTGAGTTTCAGACCCATTTCCAGAAATCCACCGGGGCCCGGTTGCGAGCTGTGTCGGGGGGCTGGCTCTGGCCCCTTGGCCTCTGAGACACCGGGCTGTGGGGCCAGCCTGCGGGGCTTTGGGGAGGGGGGCTGCAGGGCAGGTGCTGCCCCAGGGGGGCTGTTCCCGTCTCCATCTCGCGGGCTCCCCACCTGCCTCTGAAAAGAAAAAAGGCCTGAAGAGACGACGTGAGGGGGTAGTTGAGCCGACACCCTGCCTGCGGTCCCTCTGCTGCGCAAAGAGCAGCCCTCGCTCTCCTCTCCCTCCGTGGAATGCAGATGCCCGGGGAGAGTGAATCACAACGGGCAGTGAGCGCGGAGCTTCAAGCCCAGCTCCCAACACAGCGTCTCTCCTCCGTGCCAGCACCAGGCTTTGGCATCCCCTCTCTCCCTAGATTTCTGTGCCAGGAAACGGCAGCCCACCCCCTGATCAGCGGAGGAAAGGAAGGCGCGGGGCGCAGGCAGCCCAGACTGCCAGGGAGACAGCTTGTGCCACGCAGGGGGCCGGGAGGGAGCTCGGGGATCATCTGGGGAGCTCAGGAGAGAACGTTCTCCAGGCACTTCTGCAACTCTGGGCCAGTACAGCCGCACCGATGTGAGTGTCTGGGAGCTCCACCCCAGGATGCCCACCAGCACCCCAGAAAAGCCAGCCAGTTGCCCGAGGAAACTCGGCTTCACCGTGTCAGAGACTGGGAGGCCCTTTTCACAGAGAGAGGAGAGAAGCCCAGCCCAGCTCCTCGGTGCTCACGCATGAAGGGCAGCGAACAGAGACTATAGAGAGCGGCTTTCGGTCACAGCTGCCTCCTGGCCGGAAGCCCCAGGCTTCACCCAGGGAGCCCATACCCAGCCCCACTGGTCTACACTCGAGGACCAGGCACGGCTGTTAGTGGTCATTCCCACGTCAGAAGGCACCTTCCAGGAGCCACCTCCTTGTTACTTGGCCGGTCTTGCAGAGGTTGAGACAGGGGTCCCCTGGCTGCTGCTGTTCCCAGCTCCCCAAGGCTATGGACAGAAACGCTCTAGTTTTGGGTAATGGTTTTGTGGAGATAAAACCCCGCCCAGGACAGTTTGGCCCCTTAACGTGCATGCTCAGTAGTTCTTGTCTAGTCCTGGAATTTCTTAGCAACCATCACTATTGTCAATCTAGAACATTTTCTTCCCCACTCAGAAGAGAACCTGTGTCCATCAGTAACACTCCCCTCTTCTTCCTAGCCCCGGGAAACCATAGATCTTCCCATCTGGGAGCTGTGCCAAATCTAGACATTTTCACCTAGGAGGAAAACATTCCATTTTGGCCACATCTCTGTGGCATTTGATGAGGAGAGAGGGAACGGCCCTTCTCTGCTGCCCCCTGAAGAGTTACTTGGAACATGAAGTCTTAGAGGTCTTTGCTGCTCTTTGGGCCAAATTGCAGAGCATCTGATAATCTCTTGATGGCTTCACCCCTGAGTGTTGTTGCAAAATCAGAACGATTTTAAAACTTGTCTCTTTTCTATTTGTTTTTCCAGGTAGCAGAAGGTCAGGAAATTTGTGTGATTGAAGCCATGAAAATGCAGAACAGCATGACAGCTGGGAAAACTGGCAAGGTATGTCCCCAAGTTCCCATCAGCCCTTGCCAGCTCTATGACAGGAAGCAGAACTTCCATCTTTGGAACTTGGATGGTTAGGGCTGGAAGGCACCGTGGAGGTGACCCCTGCCAGCTCCTCACTCCTGCAGACCAGGACATGGGAGCTCTTTCTGCTTGGCTCCCATGTGGCCCGCCTCAAGGAGAGTCTGTCTGACGTGCAGGTAGTCAAAGAACAATTGTTCTTTCACCTTCATGTATTTCCAATTAAAGGGTCTTTAATTTTTAATGTTTACATCTGTCTCGGAGGCGCTTAGTCGCCTGAGACTTCGGTGGCACAGCGGGAACTGGTTTGAGAGATCGCAGAAATTAATGTAACTCTTCAAGATAACTTCTCCACAAGGAGAACAATTCTAGACAATTTTAGATCAAGAGGAGCTGAAAGCCCCATGTACATATGGGACGTAATGATTTAGGGAGGGAAAAAAAATGGAATCGTATTTGTCCTGAAGCTTTTTAGGAGTAAAACTTCTCACATGTATTTTCTCCTTGAGGAAAATAGAGAAGTCCTTTTAGTGATAACTTCATTATTCTTCTTGCTTCTAAAAAGATGCCACCCACAGCTGAGGGAGGCTTTTCTGAAGGACAGTTTGGTTTGGAGGTGTCTGCATCCGGGGGTGAGGCAGGGTGGGGGGGCAAGGAGGGGAGCAGAGACTGCTGTGGCCAGCTCCGGGGCCGGCTCTGTGGCCCGTTCTGTGGGAAGCCAGGATCAAGCTCGGGGGACATGGGTGTCCTGGCAGAGAGGTACTCCCTGCTCCAAGTGTCATTTGCATCAGAGAGATACATCCTCTGTCACCCCAACAGGAAATGAGGCTGCTGCCCAGACCGAAGGCCTGGCTGGGAGCAGATACCCAGTTTAGGGTGGGCGGGCCCGGAGCTGGCTGGAAGGGGTCAGGCTGGAAGGGGCTGCCGTTGGCGGGGCCCAGTCTGTGTGGCATTTGGGAGAGGAGAATGGCAAGATTTGGAAATCTTGGCCTCTACATCTGATTCCTTTTCTAAAAGTGAACCCCAAAATGGCCTTTGTTCTTGTAGAAATTGGTGTTTTTGCCCCCTTGCAATTAACATTTCTGCTGCATTAGTTTCATGTAATGTCCAGGCATGATGAGAACTTGACCTCATCTGGGGGGGCCCAGAACATGTATATATATATATATAGACGTCTGCTGCATGCCAAGGGCACCTGTTGCTGGACTGGGGTACCAACACAAAAATGAACGTGGCCTTAGCTTCTAGAAGGAGCCCACGTGGAGCCCTCCTCTGTCAGTGTGTTCGGGGTCTGCCTGGTCTCATGGTGGCTTCTGGGTCTCCTGCGGAGGCTCAGCCTATCCCTGGCTGTCCATGGCCCGGGAGCCGCTTCCAGGGTGTTGAGGGGCTCCGGGTCAGCTTGTACTTTGGCCCGACCCCTGTCAGCTGGAGCCCTTCCTGCCCATCCCGTTTCCTGCTGCGCCCCAGCAGGGCGCCCCGGGCGTGGTCAGAGCCCCAGCACCGTGGAGCGGGCCGGGTGAGCCTCGGGTTGGGTCGCTCTTATCTGGAGCGCGGTTTTTCCTCCCGGAGCAAACGCTCACAATGGAAGCCGGTCCTCCCTGTCGTGGGCGCCATGTGCAAGATGCGTCCCGTGCAAATGCGTCCCCTCAGATCCTCATGAGCCACCCCCCGCCCCCGGCACCTAGAGCACCCTCCAGGCCTCTGAAGTCGTCGCAGCGTGGGTTCCTGAGGGCCCCCAGGCTGGGATGCGAGGCACACGGGGCCCATCTGGCCTTCCACTTCCCGGCGGCAGCCCGGGGATGCGGGTCAGCCCCGGACCCCGCGGCCGGTTCTCGGGTGCCCAGAGCGCCGGGCGGGTGTGGCCGCCGCGGGTGTGCAGCCCCCGCCTCCCGCTCCCCGCACGGCAGAGCCACCCGGGACCCGAATCCCGCTTGAACCCCCGACGGGTCCGCACACCCGGAGGACCGGTTCCACCTGGGCCACCGAGTCCCCGCGGCGCAGCCGCACACCTTCGCGGCGTTTCCTTTCGCTTCAGAGGGAGCCCTGTGGTCTCGGGCCGAGGACTTTCTCCTATTAGTGGTCCTCGTTCTGGCGCTTGTATCATCGTGTGGGGTTTTGGTTCGGTTTTGGTTCTTGAGCACGAAGGATACCAGTAACTCACCACCTGAAGCCGCAGCCGAGCGTGGGAGGGCGCGCTGCTGAGAACTCACGCAGCATCAGGGCGGCTGGCTTTTAGGGGCGCTGCAGACCCCCGCACCCCGCGCGCCTAGTGCGGGGCGGAGCGGGGTAGGGGGAGGGGCAGCGGGTGGCGCAGACTCCCTTGGACCAGCAGCTTCTAGGACAGACCCGGACAGGCGCGGGGGAGGGGCAGATGGCCAGTCACCGCCCTCCCGAGGACACCCCTGTGCACTCCGTCCCCTCTGCCAAGCAGGAGCCGACTGTTGCGCCCCAAAGCCTGCCGGGCTGTCTCTTCATTTCCAGAAACTGGTGACGAGATGGCACCCTCGTGGTCCAGTTAATAATACTGACTCTCCCCTCCTTTCTTTTCTTTTCTAATTCAAGGTGAAATCAGTGCATTGTAAAGCTGGGGACACAGTTGGAGAAGGAGATCTGCTTGTGGAACTGGAATGAAGTATTTATAGCCTTTCAGTCATCACCCAATTTAATTAGCCATTTGTATTATTATTCTTTCACACTCAATTTAGTCAGGCATTTTGCAGGAACACCCCTGTGCAGCAGATTTTACATGGTCATATTTATTCCACATATAGTCAAAACCAACATTCTGCCAAAAAATCACCAATGGAAATTTTTATTGATATAAATACTTGTACATATGATTTATACTTCTGCTGTGAGATTTCCTAGTGTCAAAATTAAATCAATAAAGCTGAGCATTTGTCTAAATATTAGTTTGCCCTTTTTTTGAATGAAGACAATGTACATAAGAGGCTACTGGCTGTGCCAGTAGACTTGAAATACTAGTGTTTCATTGTGATCCTTTAAAAAACATTTCTATAAACCCCAGTTCTTTGCCTTAGTCTCATTAAATTAGCATTTACCACCTTATAATCGGATTATCTGCTTCTGCCTGGCTGAGGACCTTGCGCCCATCTGTGCCCATTCTGAACGTCCGAAAGCCCCGCGTGGGGCTGCCGGGGAGTTTGGAAATCCGTCCTGCATGGCTCTCACAGGTAAGTGCAGGGCCCAGGGTCCCAGGGGGCAGCCGCTTCAGGAGAGCTGGGCCCACACGCCCACCCTCCCCACCCTGTCCCATAGGCTGTGCTGGGTTCCCTCACCCCAAGAGGGGTGGGTGTGGCTGCCACAAGCCCATCTGCTGGTGCCCATCCTTGCCTTTTTGTGTTTTTGTGAAGCAAGTTTCCAATTAAGAAAACAGGGCTAAAAATACTGATCTGTCTTTGTGCCAGATGGAGTTAGTGAGCACGGTCTACCATCAAGTTGAAGAGCGCGGGAGCCCTCCCCGCGGAGAACGGGGTTACCGAGGCCCAGCAGCTGCGTTTTTCAGTTGCTTCTGAGATCCTCGGGATCTGTCTCTGACTTGGCTGGTAAGTAAGCAGAGGCAGAGTCGTGCGCCGCTCGGAGTCTACGCGGACAGGTCATCAGATGCAGGGGGGAGTAATTGGTACTCGTGCCTTGCTAGAATTATTTTAAGTGCTGTTTGTGTTTGGAAGCTAAGCTTTCTGTCAGGCCTGAAGAACAAATTACTAATGTGTTGGTTCTTCTCTGAAAGGCCCTCCCACCCCCCAAACGCAGCTCCCTTCGGAAGCAGGGACGGCACCTTGTCCCTGGGCCTCAGGCCTGGGTGCGTGTCCGTCTGAAATCGGGCTGTTCAGCATCTGCCAGCAAGTAGATGGCTTGTGATTTTGCTAGATGAGAAGGAAAAGAACCTTCTACCACATAAGTAGAGCCCTCCCCCCCAAAGTCAATAATAGTACCAACACGTAAATTTGGTTTCCCAAAATACCCAGTTCAATATTATATGATCGTCTTTAGTAATCCCTTTTTTAATAAGCTTGATCTGAAAAATGTGAAAACTAATGTTTTATACAGTTTAAAACTACCCAAACACAATACATTTTTCTTGAGGTTCTTTTATTACAGTGAGATAACCCAAATCAGTTTAAAAAATTCTTCTTGCTGCTACAAGTTCGAATCAATACAGTAGGGTTGCTGAAATCTAGCTACTACACAAAGTCTACAATTTAAATGTTATCTCCAGATCAAAGCGAAGCAAAGCAAAAGAAAGAAAAATTTGACGTATGAGTTTTTGAAATGTCATTTAGGAGAATTAAGATCCTGAATTTTCCTTATCCCGTCGATTCAAGCCCGTGGCTTTCTTGAAGCAGTAAGCAACAAAGCGCTACGGGATAGACAGGCTTCAGGCATAATCTTGGGATCAGTGTGTCAAATACTGGGGGAATCAGCTGCAACTGAAAGAGAGATCGTTCCTTTTCCCGGACTGAGTTTTACAACTCTGTTTCCACGGACATTGAAGGCACCCAGTGCGTGCAGACCAGGCCAAGGGCGTCCTCTCATCACCGGGGCTCTGTCCCCCGCACCCCCCCCACCCCAGCGGGGGAGCCGTCCTTGCACTTGTCATCTGTTCTCCCGTGGATTATAGCGGAGGCCGTGCTCCCCCTGGGAGTCGTAATCGTCGTGGTGCGGGAGGTGGACCCACTCGGGGGCGTAGGTGACCGTGCTGTACACGAAGCACTGCAGGGTCCCGTCGGCGGCCGGCGTCTCCTCGGGGGCCCTACACGCGCCTTCCCACTCGAGGACGGTGATGCGCAGCGGGGTGCGCTGGTACATGTTGGGGCAGCCCTCGAACTCATCGAGGAAGCTCAGCATCCGCTCGTCCACGGCATAGATCTCGCCAAGCACGTGCCGCCCCTGCCCTGGAAGGTTGAGTAGCCGCGGGATGTTATGTTCGCCGGCGATGACCAAGGGGTAGGGCTCCAGTGTGCAGCCCCGGCCGCGGAAGACGGCGCAGCCGTTGGCTTGGTCCCGCAGGACCCCATGGTTGGGCTGGCCTCGCTTCAGGGTCCCATACAGGAACACGCGGGCCATGCAGGCCACGGAAGCTGCGGGGGAGAGAGCGAGCAGATGGTACACACTGTCCGTGGCAGAGGCCTGGGGAAGAGCGTGTGGGCCTCGTGGGGGCTGGACCCCTGGTCTGGGGAGGGCCGGCGGAGGCTCCCAACCCCCACACAGCCTGGAGCCCACCGCTCCGGACCACCGCGTCCGAGAAACACCGGCCACCCTTCCCTGTCTTCTGGGAAAAGGCACTTAGGTAAGAACAGACCTGACAGAGGGAGCCAGCCCGTCTGGGGATCACTCTGCAGACCTGCTGTTTTCTTAGGCCAGTTAGGACTTTAAAAATTACACTATAAATTTTTTTGTAGCTAAGTTAGAAATACCAATAAGCAAGTATTTATATACATACACAATGCATGTACGCACACATGTACAAGACAGTCACGCACAGTCCGCTACAAGAAATCACTCAGGCTTCAGTCCTAAGCTTACATTCCGGTCCTGGCAGTCTGACCCAGCCAGCTGGAGCGATCACACCTTCCAGCATTCCTGCTCAAGGCCCCAGCAGGCAGTGGGGCTCCCCGACTCCCCGTGACTCAGCGCTGCAGCCTTGGCTCTCATGTGAAGGTGAATATTTACTGCTCACCTGGGGCTGGGCCACAGATTGTTACATAACTGATAGAAGTCACCTGTGTGAAAGTGACTCCAACAAAACTAGAAGTTACGGGGGGCCTCTCGCTCCTCAAGGCCTGGCACCTCGCTGCCCTCCTTGCCTAGCGCTGTGTGATGATGGCAGGCTCTGGAAGGAAGACACTTTGCACATGGAAACAAAAGATGAGTCCGTCTGCCGGCAGCAGCCCACCACCAGCCGGGAACAGCTGGAGGGCAACAGCCCCTGGAGGCCAGTCACGTGGCAAGTGGCCCTTGGAGAGGTCACACTTGGCCCATAGGACTAACACTTTTTGGTGTCGCAGGTCTCGGCCTCACGCTGCCTCTTCAAGGCATCTGGGGAGGGTACACGGCCCCCACAGACCCACACAGCTGCTGACGCCTGTCCCCTCCTCACCTGTCCACTGCCTCGGTCACCAGCCTGTGGAGCGTCAGGAGTTCACGTGTTTCAGGTAAACTGTGGTCGGAAAGGTCTGGCCGTGGGAGCAGCACCAGGCTGGCCGTGCAGGCAGGCTGTACAGGGCCTTGGGCAGGACGGGGACACCTTGAGCACGATGGGCATGTGGTGGGAGCTCCACTTTGGGTGACTCTGGTGACTCTGGTGACAGAGAAGGACAGATTAGAGCTGTGGGGTGCGCAGGGAGGCGTGCTGGGCACGGAAGTCTGGTGAATCCAGGAGAAGCTGGAGCGCGGGTACAGAGGGGTGAGGACCGTGTCAGGCCAAGGAGCCGAAGGTGGCCTGGCTGCCGCTGCTGGGGCACCAGGGAGGACGGGCCAGCCTGGGCACAAAGAGGGCGTTGAGAGGAGCGACAGGGACGGAGGGGTGGGCTGGTGGGGCCGGACATGTGGGAGGGATCCGAGTCCCTGCCGCTTGCATCCCGAGCACTGGCGAGACCTGCAGCTCCTCCCCGGGGAATCAGGCTCCATCTGTCTCCGGTCGCCGTCACCACCCTCGCCCAAAGACTGCCCCCCCCACAAGGGCCTGCTTCTCTGGTCCCTGTGGCCTCTCCCCAGGGCAGCGCCCATGGGGCCCTTAGCTGGAACACCGCACAGCTCCCCTGTGGTCTCCTGTTGGGGGGCCGGCCCGGAGTGGCACCCCCCACCCTGCGCCGCCCTGACAGGCACTGCGTGGTGCCTGCTGGCCCTGTCCCCGCCAGAGCCTTAAGAGCCGGAAGGAAACGTGGAAGCATCTCGTCGGGCGATGCCAGCTCTCAGGTGCGGTGAGGTTCTAAGAGTGCACGGCCAGGCAAAGCCAGTAGACCCCGGAGACCCGCTCTGTCCGACACTGGGGCCCTCGCTCGTCTCTTCTGTGATTAAATTTTCAAACGAATTCTGTGTCCATGATGTAAAAAGTCAGACGGCTTTACCAGAACAGTGAAATTGCCCACCCCTCCCACTCCCTGGAGGCAGCCTTCAAGCCTTCAAGCTGTGGCACTTGGAATCGGTCTTCGTACTGCGGGGGACCTGGCTGCCGCCCCGGCTGGGAGCACAGCGGCTTCAAGCGCAGACCTCAGAGCCCGGTTGCCTGGCTTGTGGCTTTAGGCGAACCACGTCACCTCTGTGCCCGGCTGTGAAAGGAAGCCCCAGCCACGGGCTGGGGCAGAGGGCGGGAAGCCCCCCTCCCTGCGCGGGGCTCCGTCCTGCGGGAGCCGCTCTGCACCCCCAACCCGTGCCCCCCCTCCCCCGCCCCACCAGCGCGCGCCCCTGCACCGCCCCGCGGCCCTCCGCTTGGCTCCTGTCAGGGTTCCGGTCGAATCCATATTCATCTCAACACTAGAGCTACGTAAACACTCTCGGATCAGGCACAGGGTGTGCTATCATTAATTTCCTTTCTTGGACAACTTTTCTGTTTTTCTTGGAATTAAAAAATCGCTTGCAGGTCCCCCCCTTGTCCCCCGCCCCCCACTCGAGTTTCTCTGACAGTAACTCGGCCTCGTGTTCAGAAAGTGTTGTACGCATCCGTTCAGCCCGGAGCACCGGCAACGAACAGAAACAACTCGGTCGATGCGAAGGTCCGCACTCTCGAGGCGGGCAGCGTCCCATCCGGCACGCAGAGGGGCCGCCCGGAGTTGCTGTGCAGACGGAAGGTTTTCACAGGAAGGCAGGGGGCAAGGAAGTCACTAGCAAGAGAGGAGGACTGTTTCAGGCAAGGTGACCCTCCCTCCGGTGGGAGCAGGACTGTCTTACCTCCGTCTCCTCTGGGCCACGGGGAAGGGCCCACGTGACAGAGGACCTCGTCAGTGCTGAGCAGAGAATTCCTGACCAGTGAAGACTAGTTTCTAAGGAAGTCTCAGAGAACAGTGATCGGAGACAAAGTCCTGGTTCAGTGACTTGGCCTAAAATGCGGCCATTTTGGGCCTCAGCTTTTTTTTTTTTTTTTTTTTTTAAAGTTTGTTCGTTTAAGTAAACTCTACACCCAACATGGGACTCAAACCCACGACCCCATGATCGAGTCACAAGCTGTTCCACCTGAGCCAGCCAGGCACCTGTGGGTTCCATGCACGGGGTGTCCTGCCATGCCACCCAGGGCTTCCCTGTGTCCCATGGCCACCTTCTTCGTTGACTCCCTCATTTTGCTGAAGCTCATTCTTTCCCACTCTTAATTAACAGCGTGGCTTGGTAGAAAATTCTAGAAACAGTTTCCTGCAGAGCTTTAAAGGCATTCTTGTTTTCTGCGTTCCCACGCTCTTGTTGAGAAGTCCAGTGCCATCAGGCGCCACCATCCTCTGTTCAGGACTTGAGCTTTCCTCTCTGCAGACTTGCGAGGTCTTCCTTTTCCCCTCAGATTCTGAGGTTATGGTGTACTTTCTTGTGGGTTTTTGTTGTTGTTTTTAAGATTTATTTGAGAGCGAGAGAGAACACGAGTGGGGCATGGACAGAGGGAGAGAATCTCAAGCAGACACCGTGCTGAGTGCAGAGCCCGATGTGGGGCTCAATCCCATGACCCTGAGATCATGACCTGAGCTGAAACCAAGAAGTCAGACACTTACCCAGCAGAGCTGCTCAGGTGCCCCACTTCTTGTGGGCTTCATTTGCTATGCTGGGAATTTCTATCTGAAAACTCACCATCTTGGACCTTGGGGAGTTTCCTTCTCATTCCTACCTTCTTGTTCTCTCTCTGGTCTCCTAATACTCAGGTATTATGTATCCTGGATTAATTTTCCCTTTTTTCTCTCTCCTCCCCTTTCCTATGTATTTTTCCTTCTAGTCTACTTGACTCCCAGTTCTTCTATGAACTTGTGTCTATTTTTGCCATCATTGTTCTTTCCCAGCTCGAAGTTACCGCTCATCTTTGGGAAGGTATCAGTCATCACGTGTTCGGGGGGTTGGTTTACATTTTCATCTTTCCCTGCATGGCCTCTCTGTTTCAGTGTATTTCTTTAGAGGTTTTCTTCACATGCTGGTAATCCTTGGCTACTGGCCTTTGGTATTGAGAATCCAGACACCATGTGGGCAGTGAAAGTCCTCTGTGCAAGGGAGAGGGCCTGATGGTTGGCAAGCCTCATGTGGGGGATCTGTTTGTGGGGAGGGGGGCTCCAGATAACAGAATCTCTAGGCATGCAGATTCTCCTTCGATCTCCATTTTCAGGGTGCCGCCTCACCCCACCCTCAGCTGGGCCCGGTGTCCCCAGTACCAAGCCTCTCTGGACAGTATCCCACTGGCCCCGTCAGGAAGAGGCGGCTGGCGTCTCCGCTCCCTACACAGACTTCGCTCCTTCCTGCTCCCTCTTCCCTGACCGTCGTCTGCACAGGCCCGGGGTCTGCAGTCGCCGGGCAGTCTGGCTGCGTGCTGGCTTCGCACCGCGCAGGGACTTAACGTGTGGTTTCTCCAAGTTGCTAAGTTATCTTCTGTCTTCAGAATTCCATTGCCTTCCCTCGTCTTCTGTCGTTATGGGTCACTAAAGCGGCATTTAGGGAGAAAGCAGGACCAGAAGAGCCTGTTCCTCTCGTGTCTCCTCTTCGGGGAGCCCTCACTGCACCCCATGCCCCCCCCATTTCACAGGGCCCTCAGCGCTTCAGCTTTCCAGACACTCAGTGTGCAATGGAACGGCAGTGGAGGTCTGGAAACCTCTAGCTTAGAGGGGCGCTGAGGAGAGTTTACGGCACCACGGGCTTGGGTGTGTTTTCAGTTGCCGAGAGAGAGCCAGTGAGGTGGCAGTCGTGGGCCCAGAGTGGACTGGAGATGGCTGGGGGACAGAGGGAGTGCGCGTGCGGAGGGACAGTGTGTCCCCTGAAGCAAGAGCATGAAGGGAGAACGGGAAGCAAACAAAGGAGAGGGAAAGGCCAGGGAGCCGAGGGGGCCGAGTTCGTCACCCCAGAATATGCCTCTGGCTGGAGGATTACTTCAGCCTGATTATTTTTAAGAAACACAGGAGAGGGGCGCCTGGGTGGCTCAGTGGGTTAAGCCTCTGCCTTCGGCTCAGGTCATGATCTCAGGGTCCTGGGATCGAGGCCCACGTCGGGCTCTCTGCTCAGCGGGGAGCCTGCGTCCCCCTCTCTCCCTGCCTGCCTCTCTGCCTACTGTGATCTCCGTCAAATAAATAAAATCTTAAAAAAAAAAAAAACACACACAGGAGAAGCTAGAAGTTAGAAGTGACGCATTTGAGAAGAGTCACTTAGGTTTCTAAGGGGTGTCTACGGAGTGTCTCCACGTGTTAGGTTGTGCCCCTGCCCGTGCCAGCGAGAGGGGGACGGCCGTCCGTCTCGAGACGCTCCGGCGGTGCCCACGGCGTGAGTCTACCCTTGTCTGCGCGCCCTGCAGCCCTCCCCCGCCGGCCCGGCCGGTCTCCCGCCGGAGCGTATCCACGGGGAGGGCGCGGGCCGTGCAGGGAGTGACTCGGTTCCCGGGGTGTCTCCATGTTCACAGCAGATACACACGTTATCGAATTTTTGTGTTTTTCTCCTGTTAATCTTTTACTACAGGGAGTAATAAGAGTAGAGGGAAGATTAGGTTCTCTCCCCACGTAAGGAATGAGATACATACTCCCCTTTCCCGTTCACCGTGGAGGTCAAAGGAAATAGATGCGTGAACAGGGAGCATCAAAACCAAAACAGAACAGAGCTGCGGAGCGGGGACATGGGAAAGTGTGCTGAAGGCGTGGTGAGGGGGCCCTGCCTCAGAAGGGACAGATGGGTGGCCACAGGGACGTTCATGCTGAGCTGCCTGGCCTTTCCTTAAAATAGGTGAGGTCATCTGTCCAGGCCGGGGCGGGCACCACCAGGGCCGAGGACCTGCGGAACGGAAAGAGGTTCGGAGCGGTCCTCCTGGGAAGGCCTGGGCTTTGGAGTAAGAGCAACAAGATGCCAGAGCAGGTGCTTAGCAAAGACAGTGTCGAGCTTCCCTAACTCCGGGATTCATCTGCGAGGGAAGAGAAGAAATCCCTCACCCAGGAGTGGGCAAGCCGGCCTAGAGAGAGGGGCGGAGGGACAGCAATCGTGGTCCGGTCGCTGCGGAGGATGGCGCTCCTTCGGGGGCTGATTCCTCCCAGCGATGATCAGGTCCCGTCTGCCGGCCCGGTGCCAGCTCTGCTCACCGAACCTGCCCCACGCCTTAAAGACAGGTGGTGGGACCCCACTGAGCCGATGGGGAAGCTAACG